CCCCCCCCGACCTCAATTTTACAACACAAGGATGTTATTAATCAATCCAGTAACACTTTTCTTTCCATAAACCTATCTACAGCCACATGTGTTTATATAAACTATGTAAATTGATGATTCTGCATGATGACCTTCTCACACTCACACATTTTACCCGTATAAACAAACTCAAATGTGTGCCACAGATAATGTGGATGCTAGGCCAAGTTTAGCAGCTGTTTAATTTATGTCTCCCGTGTCGGTGATGTCAGAGATCATGTGCGTTGAGGTTAAAAGGGGGCAGGGACAGCATGTTTTGGGGATACTAGAGGTCCACAGCTCTCTCTCTCTCTCCAAGGTCACTACCATTTAACAGCCTGCTGTGAGGAGGTGGGTCACACACGCTTAAGTGTCTAATAAAAGTTCTGGCAGGATATTGCAGATCATAAAACTAATTTTCCTCTCCTCCCTCTCATTTTTATTTTCCCTGCTCCTTATTCAGATTGGTTGCACTTCTGTTGATTAAGTTGGACTCTTGACGTCAGTGCTTTATTAGATGTTTGATTTTATATGTAGAACACATAATAAACATGAACTTGTTAGCTTGGATCGAGTCATTGCGGTTAGAAAAAAACAAACAAAACAAAAACAAAAAACCAATTGTGTAGCTCAGTCATCTCATCTGTGGTTTCTTCATTAAGCCTCCCTAATAAAAGGTCACAGTGCAGCTGACCCCTGTAATTTGGTTGCACATTTCCAACAGATGTAACCTCCCTTGTGTTTACAAACTAAGCTACAGCATGAGCCCAAATGCTTCCTCTCTAATTTTCTAACAGGCCAATGTAGATTTTTTTATTAATTTTTTTGTTACTAAAGAAAAAAAGTGACAAAGTACTTGATGGTGCCCCCCCGGCAGGTTATAAACATGAACATGACCCCTGCCTAGACCGCCTCTGCAGGCGTGCTGATCTTAAATGTTGGAGGCTTCATCTAAACTTGGCCCCGTCTCTGATTCAGACAGATAAATCACACGGGTTAAATGGCCAAAACATGACAGGCAGATAACAACTGGTTTTTGGAAACTTCAGAGTTTACCACATGCAAGAGATGTTAGTGTCATACAGCTGTGAATGATGACACCACTTCTCATATCTGTTCACTCCTCCTTATTGTGACATCCATTTTTTTTCCTTTAATGTTTGGCAAAGCATGTGAGACTCTTTCCTTTCCTTCGTGTGCTAGTTTATCGCCTCATCTCTGCGGATTGGAGTCCTGCCCCTTTCCCCGTATCTTTACATCAACATGAGAACCTAAACCAAACTAGCACTCTCCCTGAAGCCCGTCTAACCCATTTCAATTTTTGACCTAATTTCTCCTGACCAGCTGAGGAAATGTGGAGTGTAGTAGATCACCCTCCCTCGTGAGCCATGTGTTGGCGAACGCAAGTCGAGCATGTGCTGGAACCCAGATGTACAGGTCAGAAATGAATATAGATCTGGCGGCTTTACTGCTGATGACTTCCAAGAGGAGCTATGTCATAAGGATCCCCAAGAGGGGAGTGAATTATTTGCCTGAAATTTTCACACGTGCACACACAGAGAATGGAACAGAGGCAGATAGCAAACCAAGAGCAGTAATTGCTTTGGTATCAAACACTGATCACTTCTAATGCTTTTTGCTGTAATGTCTTTCAAGTTGAGCCCAGTAAAGGAAAAAAAAAGAAAAGAAAAAAAAAAAAGGAAAAAGTTGAGAGGAATGTGGCCTTGAACCCTGGTCTGTCTGGTGTGCATTAAAAACCTCCCGACAAAACAATCTTGCTCTCTTTCAAGAATAAATATCAATCTTATGGGTCTTTTGTAGTTGAAAAAGGCACAGTCACACGTGCACACCAGTCTGCTTGCATTTTAGAACAACAGGTCTCCAGCCTTAGCTCTGTGGAACATTGCCTTCATTGTAAATGCTTGTTCCTGCAGCATTCTTAGCAATCTACACTTTGCTCTTTTTCTTCGTTTTTTTTTTTTTCTCTTTCCATCTTCTTAAACCCCTGGAGGTGTCTGTGGCGGGTTAGTGCTCCCTCAGTGATGTGAGTGGTTTCTGTGTCTGCCTGGTTGGGGTCTGGCCCCTTTCACGGCCCCTCACACCTGGCTCGGAGGGCTTCCAGACCTGGGCTTAACTCCTTGGAGACCTGCGATTTTTTTTTTCTTTTTTTGGACCCAGGGGAAAGCTTGTATGCCCTTATCACCCCATCAGAGGAAAGGGTGTGAGGTCACTGTTTCAGAGGTGCTCGTGCCATCTGGTCTTCCTGTAAATCTTACAATCAGCTGCAAACACAAGAGAGCCAAAAGGGCAATGAAGGCCTCATTAGGCTCGGTCGTGCTTCTTTCATGCTCATTTATTATCTTTCGAAAGCAGCTTTTGAAATCATAAATCTTTTGTTAATGAAATGAAAATCAGAGCAAAGGTTTCATACTGTATGTTTCTTTAGTTAAGAATGTAGTTTCTCAAACCAAAAAGGTGTCGTGGGTTTGTCAAATGTTCTTTCTCTGCAGCAGACTTGTTGCAGGTTGGAGAAGTTTGACTTGTAACTCGTGGTTAACATGCGAAAGAATGTATTTTAAACCATATCATTTTTTTCAAAACCTATCACAGAGTTAACATGATACATATCACTAATATATGACAAGAAGTTCCCAACCAAGCATCAGTATGTGACTAGTTGTTAGTGAGAATGCATTAATTAGAGATGTAGTTGTCAAAAGTGATGTGGCTCAGGAGGTAGCACGGCTCGTCTACTAATCAGAAGGCTGGTGGTTTGATCCCTTGCCGTCAAAGTGTCCTTGGGCAAGATGCTGAACCCCAAGTTGCTCCTGAGGTGTTTATTGGAGCGTGAGTGTTAGATAGAAAGCACATAGGTGTAGGAAAACATGCTTGTGAATGGATGAATGAGGCTTGTTGTCTAAGGCACTTGAGTACTCAAGCAGAGTAGAAAAGTGCTACATAAGAACGAGTCCATTTACCGTTTAGATTAGTTAGTGTTGTCTGGTTAGAAGCTGGTGGGTTTTACTTGTAACTGCAACTATTGTAGGCCTGCGCTTGACATATGACATTGACTGTAATAAAAAACTGTTACTTAGGAAGCAAAGGTTCCCTGATTCGATGTCAGGAAAAGACACAAAGCCCTTTGGGGCTGTGCGTCTTTAATTTGACACAAAAAATCTGCCAAATACAACAGGTGGAGCTATGACTTGTGAATAAGGGAGCAGCTGAAAGTAGATTTGTCTTCTTCCTCTTCTGTAATTGCTTATCCCTCCTTTGTGGCACTCACAGGCTGCAGTATGTTATGTTACCACACTTTGAGAAGCATGGGTTTCATGAAGACCACATTTATAGTAAAGTCCAAAGTGCTAATAAATCAGATGGTGGTTTAGGTCCACCCTAATATGTGCCTTTGTGCCATTCTGACAAAAAACGTTCTATTCTGTCTTAAAAAGTGCCAAATAAAATACTGAAAGTTGGCACAGTAACTCGTCGTTGTTAGTGCTTCCTCAGCCCCAAAATAAAAGCAGCTTTTTCCAAAAGGTCAAATAAGTTTCATCAGTAAGCTCAGACTTTTTTTTTCTTCACTGTGGTTAAAAAAAGATCCCTATGGTACTAATTATCATGAGCAAAACAGGCAGAGGAGTTGGAAGAACAAATGACAAGGTTTTTCCATTTGTAGAATTTATAGTAAGAACGCTAACAAAAGCAACAACCGTGTTTAATTGGTAACTGTAAAAATGGGAGCGACAGACAGAGAGGGCAGATTAAAGACAAACCAATTACAGTCAACATGAAGTAATTATTCCCTGCTTTGAAAGGTTCACTGTTGACATTCCTCGCCATAAGCTTTGTTTTTAGCTACACTTTCTCTGCGTGCACTTCTTCGAGGCCATGCTATTTCAGCCTGCATGCTGCTGTTGACAAAACATTTGCCATCTGTAAGCACTGGTGGAAACAAATTGGAAGTGAAGCGTTAGTTTTTGATGTATGGGAATTTGGAGAAACAGACTCTTTTTTTTTTTTTCTTTTTCTTTTTTGTTTCAGCTTCCAGAGCAAGCGAGGATATATATTTGATGGAAAACTCATTTGTAAACAGGGCATAACTTATCTCCATACCCAAAAGGCCATCACACGCTGAATTATACTGTATATACCTGGGCTTGCATGTTATAACTTAGTCTTGAAAATTTATAGCTCTCAAAGATATGAGTCTAGAAGTATTACCTTATGCTATAAGTTATGCCCATATTTCATTTCATACTTTTATCTCATTCGCTCTTCCTTGGCTTCTATGTCTCGCTACCACTTTAAGATCTCCTGGTTTTAATGACACGGCTGTTATAATCCCACGATGCTGAAGCACCTTGACTTCCTGGTTTCCAGAAGGAAGTGCTCAAAAGGGCCGTGTGGGAAAGATAGATGTGTTCTAGTCAAGTGTTTCATTACCTCTTAAACTGTCTAGGACCTAACCCCCCCCCACCCCCCAATACAGCACACAGATCAGCTTTTAGAGCCACACAGCAGGAACTTTAGTGGTCGCCGTTTCCACAAAGTGCACCTGAAACACAAGAGCCTTTTGTTCAAATTTTAAGTGTCTGTAGTAGCAAAGGCTTTAAATTTTATATGTGACACACTAGCAAGACATGTGCAACGGTTTTCATCTGCGTGTCACAATCCAAAACGCTTCACCGTAAACAAAGGTAAGAGCAGCCAGCTTCATTTATGTACTCTGCACTTTGTAGCCGAACGGGCGGCTGTGGTGTCGAGCTGGAATGGAAACCTGTAGTTAAGAAAAATCACCATAGGAATAATCTAAGTTTTATATACAGTATTTGACTGGGCTATGATTTTAAGTTGGCCATATTAGGGATATTGGCTGCCACTGACATCAATGAGAGCCAAGAGTAGAAAAAAA